TCCTATGATCTTACTATCAAAGTTCATTTAGCCCAACCTATGTGTGAGCAAGAATCCCTTCTAAATATTCTCAACAAATGGTCTAATCAAATCTTTCCTTGAAGATTGAGAGATGGGGGCAACTCATTTGTTTTTTGGACAGCTCAAATTCTTAGGAAGGTTTCCCTTATCTCGACTTGCTTCCCTGTAGCTTCCTTCCACCTACTGATTCTGCCCCTTGGGACTATGCATCACAAGTCAATTCCTCTTTCATTTGAAGGTCCTTAATGTCCTGGAAGGCTATTCATATCCTCTCTAAATTTACTCTGGGTTAAATATTCCCAGTTCCTTCATCCAAGCCTCATTTGGCATAGCTTTGAGTCATCTCACCAGTCTAATCACCTTCTTCCATTTATACTCTGGCTTAACAGTCCATCTCTAGTTCCCTCTCTCACTATTCCTACCTTCCTTCCATAGTCATAAGACAGGAGAAAGAGCTCACTCTCAGCTAAGATGTCAAAGCCATAGGGTCTCAGTGTTGGAAGGGACCTCAAGGGGCAGCTAAGTGGCATAGTGGATAGAGCACTAGCCCTGGAGTCAGGAGGACCCGAGTTCAAATCTGGCTTCAAACCAAATACTTGACACTTCTGAGCTGTGTGACCCTGGGCAAGTCACTTAACACCATTGTCTAGTCAAAAACAAAAAACAAAACAAAACCAAACACTCCTTCCTTGGAAGGAACCTCAGAAGTCATCTAATCTAACTAGTACCTGGAGCATTCATCTCCTCTAAAACATCTCGGACAAGTGATCATTCCACTTTTGACTGAATGGTTGGGAAACTTACTACTTCCAAAGATAGTCCATTCTACTTTTTATCATTAGGAAGGCTCTTTTCTTACACTGAACTCCCTTGATTACCAGGCTTGGTGATATCAAATATCAGCCTGCAGCCAGCAGTAAGGATGAGGCCATGGAGTCCAATCCCATCATTTTACAGATGAGGAATCTGAAGTGAAAAGAGTTTAAATTACTTGTCCAGTCACAGGTAGTAAGTGCCTGAGATGAGATTTGAATAAAGGTCTTCCTGACTTCCAAGTCTGGCACTCTGTGATAACCCTCAAATTCCTAAGAGAACCAAACAAAAATAGAGAAATGAGAAACAGGGCATTTCATTTTTCTTCAGACTCACTGTTGAATATTTATTAGGTCCTTTCATAGGATCACAGAGCTAGAACTGCAAGAGACCTATTTTAATACTCTCATCTTACAGAGAAGGAAATTGAGGCACAGAAAAGTTAAGTGATCTGTAAGTCACAGAGGAAAGGTTAAAACCTAGGTCTTCTAACTTCAAATCCAAGTACTCTTTCCACTGTTCATATACTTTGGACCTGGGGCATAGGACCAGACCTTATCTTCCTTGTCACTCAAGGTTATACATGATAAAGGGACAATTATGATTATATTGATTCTAAGACATGGCACAATGATGATTATTGCATAAATTCTGGGGCATGTCACATAGTAGATTGATCATTTTTATTATACACAGGCCCCAGAAGTTAGAAGCTAGGTAGGACCTTGAAAGTCATCTGACTCTTTCCTAACCACTCATTTTATAGATAATGAAACTAAGGCCCAGACAGAGGTTCAGTAGCTTGCCCAAGAGGTCATACAAGCAGTTACAGAACAAGTATTTGAACAAAGGTCTCTGACTCAAAGCCAGCTCTTTCCACTTTACCCCAAAGTTTATGTTATATGTAGTGTGATGATTATGAGATTCATACTTCAACATTGTCAAAGATTTATGATCTCCCCCTATACTTCTATCAAAAATATCATAAACTTGGGGCAGCTAGGTGGTGCAGTGGATAGAGCACTGGCCCTGAAGTCGGGAGGACCTGAGTTCAGATCTGGCCTCAGACCAAACACTTGACACTTACTAGCTATGTGACCCTGGGCAAGTCACTTAACTCCAATTGCCTAAAAAAAAAAAGTCATAAACTGTTATGAGAAAAAAGTCATCCTCAAATTAATACTCTTCTGGTGATGAGCCTTTATGAGCTGAATGATAGTCCATCAGATCTATACTTTCAAGTTTTCCAGGTTGGGCAGAACTGCCCCACTACCATAGTCTTTGTACCTCTGTATCACCATGAGGCATTAAAAGTAATGTTTGAGTGGAGATACTAGAATTTTAAAATGGATTTGGAATGGATCATAAGTGAACAGGGTGGTTCTGGAAGCAAAGTGGGCCTCTTCAATCAGAGGAAAATGGAAAATTGGGTTCACTATAGTAAGGGCTGTGATCTCATGGCACCAACAATCCAGGGGAGTTTCTGGAACTAAACCTAATAAACAAGAAACTAGTTTGGCAAAGAAGAATTTGCTCTCTTTTTGCTTTTGTTGGAATTAAAGTAATAGGGTTAGATTAGAATTACTCTTAAATTCTTCTAACATTAATTGCTGACTTTGCTGGTCGACCTTAGGTCAATCACTCAAATCTCTCTGGCCACAACTAAAAGGGAAGGAAGGCTTTTTTTTTTCTTTGTAAATGCTTCACAATAAAACATAACTGAGTTTCTAGCTCCATTGTTTCTCAGCAGTATGGGAAATCTTAAATACAATTTCCAGAAAGGTGTGCATACAGAACAAAACCCAAATACCCTCGTGGCTTTTTCCATCAAAGAAAATTATTTCCCCAGGACAGAACTTTCTAGTGAACAGCAGTCTGACCCCTCCCATTCCCCCCCCCCCCCCCCAAAAATAGGAGGCAAGGGGCTGGAGACTCCAAGAACCAAACAAGCAATAAATCCAAAGAAAAAGTCAACTATCTAGCTTCAAGGGAGAGAGTCCAAAGTAAACATACTTCCATAGCCAATGGACAGGGGAGAAAAAAAACCTGGGCTTCGACCACGTGCGCCACTAAAGTCTGCCTCAGTAAGTAAGAGAAAGGTTCCCTTCACTCCAAATTCCCTTACTTGCTGTGGTGCCTCCAAGTTTATGAAGCACCAGGCTCTGGGTCAGAGGCTAACTTGAAAAACTGACTTTGTAAACCTGGATAGCAAAGCCCCAGGCTCAGAGGTTGCAGCACCTTAGGGGTTAAACAAACTAAATTCAAATGGACTCTGCAGCTGGGCTTCGGGCTCTCGGGGCTACTCCCCCAGTTCCCTGCCCCCTGCTCCCATCCCACTCCTCTAGCCTCGGCCTCCACCCCCACTCCCTCCATTCTCCAGGCCTCTCCTCTCCCTTCCCTCCAGGGCAAAGCAGTAAAAAGATTAAGTGTTGGCAGCAGCTAGTGGTTGTAAAAACTAGGCCCAGCTTCCCCATCCCGCCCCCTTTCAACTCGGCTCCAGTACCTTCCCCAAGACATGACCGACCGCTATAGGGAACAGTGGGCTCCCATTGCATTAGGAAAGCCTCTCTCCAGTATTCCTGCTCCTGGGCTCCCAGTGAAAGCAACTGGTAAGGTCCAAGGGATGAGAAGGAGCTAGCAAGAGGGCTACAGCAGCCTTTTGGGGCCAGCCAGTGGGTCGAAGAAGGCTCCCAGCCAGATCTTAACAATTGACAGAGAAGGAAGGCTGGATTCTGTTGTTTCTCAGCTTCAGAGAGGTCCCACAACTTCTGAGCAGAGTGCCCAGGGGCTGGCAATCCCTAGGCTTTTCTTCCCAAAGAAAGTGTAAAATGGGCAGCTTTGGTCCAAATTTTCCCATTTCCAACTAGCCTGCTTGGTCCCTGGGGATGGAAGGTCCTGATTTATGCTAGACCTGGTGTTACTATGACATTCTAGATCCCACCACTCACATAGTGATAGGGTCCCCTGAAGGCTTTATTTTACATAGCCCAAGTCCCTTGAGGTGTGGCTAAGGCTCCCATCACCTCTTGGACCTCAAGGAGCTTCCATGTCCCATGGGGTGGGGAGGTCAGAGGCAACCTCACATTTCAGCTTATCTCTCCACCTTTTTTATTTTTGCTTAGGATTCCTGCCTGGCTATAATTAGATACACACCACAACATCTAAACTGACTAGTTTTTTCCCTCCCTCTAGCCCCCATATCCCAGCTCTTTCTAACTTCAGGGATAGGCTAGCCTAAGCCTCTGTCTCCACCTACCCCCTCTCTTGTCCGTTCCCCCCCCCCCAATTTAACCAGGCCTCTTGTCCTTGGACTATGTTAATGGGTATATCAACCCAGGGCAGGAAAGTTGATGGTAGTATGAACTGCCCAGTGCTTCTCCCTGGAGGAAAAAAAGAAAATGTCTCTCCTGCAGGAAAAAGGGGCTGAGTGTGGGACCCTCTTCCCAGGTGCACTAGCTGGTAGAATTAAAACACACTGCTTTAGTAGAGTGTATCTACTCCTATAAACAAACTCAGGAAAGAACCATGAGAGAGAATGATAGACCATTCTTAATCTCATCCAATTCCTTCATCCTTTATGGATGAAAACAGGATCCAAAGCACTTTGTCTAAAGTCTGAGACCTAATAATTGGTATATTCAGGGTAGCAATGATCTTCTCAGTCCATTTTCCCACCCCCACACACCCCATCCTGATTCCTTATCCAGTGCTTGACTGGTTTCCTTATCCAATTCAGATGCAGTCATAGAAATTTAGTACTGGAAGACCTCTTAGTAGAACTCCTTCATTTCACAGATGAGGAAATTGAGGCTCAGAGAAATTAAAGTGACATTCAGAATGTCAAACAGCTAAACTGTGGCAGAACTAAGGTTGGAACTCTGGTCCTCAGCCTTCAATTCACCACCCGAACCCATTGGTAAAGAAGGAAGGGATGGCGGTGGTGGCGGTGTTTTAATGGGTGAGTAGTTGTATGTGTGTGTGGGGGGGTGTTTAGAAGGAAGAGGTCTCTTTCTGAAATCTCTGGAGGTAATGGGTTAGAGGAAGGAAACTGATGAAACAGAAGAGGACAGGCTCGAGTTTAAGAAGAAGAGAGAAGATGAAGTGAGCGAATGGGAAAGAGGAGGTCGAGGTGAGAGGGAGGTAGTGCTGGGGAGTTGGTCCCTCACCCTCTTGAAGTCTGCAGTGAAGGAGATGAGGGTCCCGTCGGGTTTATGTAGCTCCAGGCTGATGCAGTCTGCATCACTGTCAGCCTGCAGGCTCTCCTCCGTCACCTGGCCATCTGGCAGCCGCACTCGGACCTTCAGCTCCGACAGCCCCGAGGACCCCCCGGCCAGCGCCTGCAACCCAGGGGTGAGCAGCAGCAGCAGCAGCAGCTGGGGAAGATGCGGAACTCTGCGCCCGAGGGACCGCATCCCCGGGGCAGCAGAAGCGGAGTCCGCTGCTCCCCTTCTTAGCCCCGCCGTCCTCCTCCTCACCCCGGACGCACGGGTCGGGGGAGGAGGAGTTGCCAAACTTGGCTGAAGTTGGTACCAAGTTTGGAGCTGGGAGGAGGGAAGGGAGAGCTGGACCCCGACGGGGCTCTGCCTCTATCCAGCGGTAAGCGCTGGGCACATGGATTGAGCCTGGGAAGGCTGCCAGTGCAGAGAAGCCGCGCCGCGTATCAGAGAGGGAGCCCCCAGGGCATGGCTGGTTGGCCAATCTCGCCCCAACCCAGCTGTTCCCTCTGTCCCCAACTCCCGCCTGCTTTAACTCCGTTCTGCACTTTTCATTCAATCCCCGTCACTTCCTTCAGAAAACAGAAACCACAAGGACCTGCCTTAAAGAGACAGCGCACCTCCTAGCCCTTAAAGGGCCAGCTCTGGTCCACGTAGCGGCTCGCCAGAGCTTAGGCAACCTGCCGAAGGGGAGGGGGATAAGGTTAGGGGTGAGTATGCCGATAGGGCGGAGACTGGGAGGAGGCAGCTGGAAAGGACTTTTCCCACAGAACTTTCTCAACTAGTCTCCCTCCTCAGCGTCCCAGTCATCTACTGGGGCGGTGTCAGAATTTCACTTTTTTTTTTTTTTTTTGGCAAATCTCACTCTTTTTGACAAGTCTTTTCCTCCCTGCCTAGGCGGAGCTGGTGAGTTCAGCTTTTTTTCCCATAGGACAGCGAAATGTTAATAGACTCCTCCAGGGACCGACCGTTGCAAGTTGCCTTCATCCCCTTACTGTACTCTCCTGACCCTTCCTTATTTCCCTGGCCGCCTCCCCTACCCGTTACCTTCTTGCTCCATTCATCGTCCTCTCTGTCCCCATCTCCCTCTTTCCCCCTACCTTGAGTGACACTACCCGAGACCCACGAGTAAGGGCATAGAATGAATTGAAGACCTCTCCTAGAACAAGCTAAGCATACCTGGGCAAAATTCAGAGATGGCTTTTTTTAACAGCTACGTTACACAGTTGATAAAGACCTGGACCTGGAGTCTGAAAAATGGGGATGATAGAGGCGTGTAGGTGGCACAGTAGATAGAGCACCGGCCCTGGATTCAGGAGGACCTGAGTTCAAATCCTGCCTCAGACACATAACACTTTACTAGCTGTGTGACCCTGGGCGAGTCACTTAACCCCATTGCCTAGCCAAAAAGAAAAGGAGAAAAAAAAAAAAAGAAAATGGGGATGATAATAATAGCACCTGCCTCCCAGGGTTGTTAGCAGGATCAAATGAGATATTTCTAAGATGTGTTGTAAACCTCAAAGTGCTACATAAATGCTAACTATTATTATTTCTCCCTCTTCTTTATTCTTAGTTATAAAAGATAGCTTTCTGGGAGGTGGAGGGAAAAGGAACACATTGGAAAATGTAGGTAATACAAAATAAAAGACATTAATAAAATTTAATTTTAAAAACAATTCCAGCTCTCCCAAAGTGAAATGGACTGCCTCAGAAAGTATTGGATTCCTAGATACTGGAGGACTTCAAAAAAAAAAAGGAGAAGGATGACTTGTTGGGGATATTTTTCAGGGCCTTTGAGCTTGCGGCAGGGGTTAGACTAGATAATTCTGAGGTCCTTTCTAACTGGATTTCTATGATTCTGAGACTATCCTAGCTCATATCAGTCTTTCACTAACTGCCTTATATTGTCAGCTGACTTTTTCATGTGAGTGATTCTTATCTCCTTATTGAGATTATAACTGAGTTGGAGGGCAGGGGTGATTCACAGAACCTTGCCCAGGTCTGTTCAGCCTGCTGTGGAGGGGGTCCTCAAATCTAGCCTATGCTGCCCCTTCATGGGATCCCGGACTATGATATCCTGGAAGGAGGAAAAGAGTGGAAATAGAGAGACAAGAGATAGATGGGGTGGGGACAAGGATGATGAGTGGAGAAATGAGGCAGAAAGGCAATGGGAGGCCCATAGTGGAGGACCAAAATGGAAATGAGGGCAGAGCACTTGCCAAAGCCATCTTTACAAAGACTTCTGGCACTCTCGATGAACTAAATTCAATTTCCTTGACTCTAAGTAGGCTTCACTTAAATCATTCCAGACTCAGTAATGTCTATCCTGCCTTCAAATATCCTCAGAGGAAGAGACCTCAAAAACTTAATTATCCAACCTAGGGCTCTTTGTGAGAAATTTTTTATGCTTACCCTGGATCCCTCTTATTATATCGAGAGCCAATCAGAACAATTGTCAGATTTTAGGATATAAGGAATATTAGAGATCATCCGGTACTCTCTCTTCATTTTACATATTTGGAAATTGAGTCCCAGAGAGGTTGAGGCTTGCCCATGATCATATGGTTAGCAAATTGCAGAGCTAGGACTTGAACCCAGGTCTTCTGACTTCAGATGCAATATTCCTTCGACTACACCAGTTCTCTCATCTCACTGGGGTGGGGAAACTGTAAATCAACCTTCTGAGGTACTCCGAGTACCTTGAGTTAGAAAATACACACACACACACACACACACACACACACACACACACACACACACACACACA